GGCTTCGGGGCCGGTAAGTGGGGGTAATGAGATGTTTGTTGGAAATGCAGTGGTGCGCCATTGCAGCGTGTTGAGTTTTCTCGAAATGGGCTTCTTATGCGAGTTTTTGCAGGAAGATTGTGTTGCAGAGATGCAGGTGCTTTGATCCGGGCCGATCGCGCATCCTGAGCTGCGCCACATCGATGGAAGCAGCAGCAGAATCGTTGCCGAATTTGGAGTGCTATCGTCACAAATGGGTGGTATGTTCTTACTCTAACTTGCCTGATTTCGGCCAGCCACGAATCGGTGGCCGGAAAAATGCAAAAGACACTGCCGAAGAAGCTGTGATTTAGAGGCAATTGCTGAAGTGGCCTGTTTCAGAGATGTCTCGGTATCCAGAATAAACCGGGTATTCCGCTTGAAAAAATCTCAAAATATGGAAATGCGCAAATTCGATTGGCCTGCCAAAAATTCCTGGAATGCCACAGTTCATCGCGGTTGCCAGATGGTGACGTGGAAGCAGTACTGGCGTTATTCTGTGAGCGTGAAGGATGTGCGTTCAGCGAAAGCTATTTGAGTATCCTGGCGGTGCTGATGCCTTTACGTTGCACGTTGGACGAACTCTACAACATGTTCTATGCAATTTGCACCAAATTCGTACCCAGGTAGCGCCACTGCAGCACACTTTTGCATATGTTAACGCACAGACCGCCCGAAGCCCTCGTCCTCTTCCATTGTAGCTCCTAGCCAGCAGGGATATTCAAAGCCCTCGTCCTCTTTCAGTGTAACTCCTAGCCAGCGATATTCATTGTTTGTATCTTTAAAATTTCTCAGACACTTATTACACCGGTAACTGCTCGCCCGTTTGCCGAACAGAACGCTCGCATCTTCCTTCTTATTCGCTGGGGCATCCTGAGAAGCGTTATCGCTCTATCGCCCTTTTGAAGGAATGGCTTAGGTTGCTAAACTGACTGTAGTATCAAGGTTATCCTGGAAGTCAAAGTACCGAAGAAGCAATTGAATACAGAAAGTAGGAGCAGTATGAGAAAAGAAGGCAAGAGTGAGATAAGACGTTTCGGTCCATTAATAAGTCATATACGCCTTAATTTAACGCCGCGCGTGAGGACCCCGTGTCAGCAAGACGGTCGCAATGTTTGATGGAAAAGGAAAGGGGAAAAGAAAAATAAAGAGAAAGACTCAAGGAAAGAAAAGAAAGGAGTTGTGGGATTAGCGAGGATTTTGTTATAATATTTTTTTCCCCTGTCAAAATAAAACCACTGCCATTTCGAGTAATTTTTTCGGAAAAGACCATTGCCTGCGTCCAGAAAGCTGCCATGAATCCCAATGTGGTTTTTTGCGTTCCATCCCTCCTTCACATTACAACCAGTGGTACTCCAAGTGGCATGGTAAGCAGATGAAGCAGTTAATCGAGCTTGCTGAGTGCAAATTGCAGGGACACATCAAAGGGCGCCGTGTGTTATCAGCTGATGCACCTGATCCTGCAGTACCACGATCCGTCGCTCAGTTCCCATCTCGAATCGCATAAAGTTACACCATTCGAATATGCGCAGCCTTTCTTTGCCACCCTTTTTGCAACCGAAATCCCAAAGGAATCGTTGTATCTGGTTTGGGATAAACTATTCCAGAAAGTAAGTATTTTGATTTTTATGCGTTTTTTGCAGCTATGCAATGCATAAAACGCATATTGACGAGAGGTTGTCTGTGTGTGTGTGTGTGTGTGTCTGTGTGTTCGTCTGTATCGATTTTTCATCTCGAGACCGGCA